AAAATTGCATAAGCAAATCAAGTGAAAAGAAATGGACTTTACTTGTATCTTAATAGATAAAAGCATAATTACTATCAAACATTTTTTTTAAGACTGTGTTTCTGGCACCAACAAAAGAATTGTGAATTTTTTTTGGCTGAAGAACTTCGGCTAAAGTTGGTCCTAAAGGCTGGCATTCTAAATCTCTCTCTCTCTCTCTCTCTCTCTCTCTCTCTCTCTCTCTCTCCCTCTCTCTCTCTCTCTCTCTCTCTCTTTTTGAGAGAGAGATAGAGGGAAGGGCAGAGAGAGAGAGGGAGAGAGAGAATCCCAAGCAAGCTCTGCACTCACAGTGCAGAGTCTGATGCGGGGCTTGATCCCATGAATCACGAGATCATGACCTGGGCCAAAATCAAGAATTGGATGCTTACCCGACCGAGCCGTCCAGGAACCCCTAAATTTCTTTAAAAGAACATCCTTTTATCATTTATGTTATTAATCCTATCACAGTAATTAATGAGTTATTAACCAAAATGGCAGTCAAATCATAGAAATTTTCTGTATAATGCTTTCCTACATTTGGAGACATCTTGTATGATTCTAAATTAGAATCTCACCAATTACTGTGCATTTATTTTCCTTTGAGAAATACATGCTGTACGTAATACAGAAATCTCGTATTAAATCACCTTGGAACTGTGATAACAGACTTACTTTGGATTGACAGAATCATGCAGACATTTGTTACACAGCAGTGGAAACAGAGCAAAGAAAAATCCAATTGCCTGCACAGTAAGAAGCTGTCTGACAAGAAGGTGAAGTCCCCCCTGCATTTATTTACTACCTTGCGCAGGTAGGTAACAGATGACTTCACCATGGTCTTAACTGAATTCTGGGCGTGTGATGCTCCATGATTATTGTACTTCAAGCATTCTTTGTATAGCTGTGGCGTCTGTTTATTTTCTGTGTGACTTCAGAGAACAGACTGTTACATCCATTCCATCAAAAACATATATTCATTTCTACATTTAGAGTTTTTGTTCTCTTAACGTGAGTTAAATATACTAAAATGGCATTCTTCGTTTTCTAGTCACATAGAGTTTTCTGTACCAAAATTGCTTCTGTATAGAGCTCTGAGATAGATAGGAGGGGGAAAAAAAACCCTGATAATCTTGCTTTGCTTTCCAGGAAAAAATATAATTCAGTTCAGTCCATGTGATCCCTCTACGCATACTGTTGATTTCAGTTTGAGCTGGATGGGCTGTATTTAAAGCAAGGCGGTGTTTGTAGCAGAGTTGAGGTGATAAAGCCTCACAGGTCTTTTCCATGGTGTGTTTTACTCGTGATTTGCCCTGTACTAATTGTTGTTCAATTTTGAAGGTCGCCAAGTTATCCTCCCCCTGGTTGTGGTAAAAGCAAATCCAAGCTGAAATCTGAGCAAGATGGAATCTCCAAAACACATAAGCTGCTGCGGAGGACTTGTTCCAGTACCGTCAAGGCTGACGACGTGTGCTCCAGCAAGTCGCACAGGACCTTTGGTCGCTCCCTGTCCAGCGACCCCAGGGCTGAGCAGGCGGTGACGACAATTAAGTCGCACAAACTCTTGAACCGGCCCTGCCCTGCAGCTGGCAAGCAAGAGGACTGCCTGGCGCTGAAGTCGCATAAACTGTTGACTCGGTCTTGTTCTGGAGATCCGCGATGTGAGCACAACGCCAACCTGAAGCCCCACAAACTGTTGAGCAGGTCTTACTCCAGTAATCTCAGAATGGAAGAGTTGTACGGACTGAAAAACCACAAATTGCTCAGCAAGTCTTACTCCAGCGCTCCCAAGTCATCCAAGACGGAGCTTTTCAAGGAACCTAACGCAGAGGGCAGGAGGCTCTCTCTTACCTCAGGGCTTATTGGTATCTTAACACCTTCTTCGTCGTCATCTTCCCAGCCTGCTGTGCGTAAATACTTTCATCTTGAGTTCGTAAACGTTAGCTAGGGTGCAGGAGAGATTTTTGTTTTTGTAAGATCTGGTAGAGGAAAGAAGATGTTTTGTCGTTCTTTTTTTTTTTTTTTTTTTTTTTTTTAATTTCCTCCTTTTGCTTTTTGGAAATCATTTGGCATACCAGACACGTGCAACTGGTGCTGGAATGTTCCATTTTGATTCTGAAAAAATAAATGTAGCTGTTGATTTAAGGTCTAGTCCAAATTCCTATTATGGTCATGAATGCTGCTAAAAATGGAAGGAAGCCCGTTGGATCCACAAAGCCTATCCTTTTAAGCAAACATAGCATTTTAATGTTTTATCAAGTAGGTTTATCTGTTCTCTCGTTTTCTTACATAAGTGATGGAGGACAGAGTTTGACTAATAATTAAATTCAGAGTAGTGTCCTTCCTGTTATATATAATATATAACATATTATATAATTATATAATATATAATAGTATATAATATATTTATATTTAAATTATTTGTATATAAGTAAATTTGCATATATATAAATATTATAGGGATATAAATATATATATTAGGAAAACTTCACCTGTGAATCGTAACTTCTAAAGAAAAGAAACACTTGCATCCGTATCCCAGAGCTTCACTTAAAGCTGCTCTCAGTGTCTGCTTTATAAAACTGAAGTCACTTTATCCTGAAGTTTTTCTGGGGGAGATGGGGCCAGAAGGTAACTGTATTAACACTTAAGCCCTTTGGTGTGGAATTTATTGGGAGTCAGTCTTACACGAAATTTACCTCTAGAGTGATCAACATTACAGCTGATTTCAGATAAAGAAACAAACCTATTTTATGTATATTAATTACATAACATAGTTGATTAAAAATGTTTTCTTTTAGTAAACATGTGTGTATGTTGGGGCAAGGGTATATCTAACTCTTAACCATTAATATGGATACAGCTAGCCATAGATGAAATTGAAAACAAATAAGATACGTTTTCAGAAAGTTGTGCTGCTCTCATATAGATTTATTTCTAAAATTACATTGTAAATGATACCGTAAAATTATATTTGTGTTAAGAAAATGTATTTAAGTATGCTGATAATTTTAGGTGGACATCCTTAAAAGCCCATTTCTTAACAGAAGTAGACAGTAAGGGCATATAGAAAATAATGTCAGAGTGGTGCATACTAGGAAGTTTCTTCCCATGGTAGTTTCACCTAAGAAAGAGAATTTCACATATTCTGTAAAAGAAAATGTCTTCCTGTCTTCCTGTATGATTAAGCCTAATACAGTACAATAGTTTAATGTTGTACCCCTTCAGCAACTGTCTAATTTTTCCTTGGAAGAATAATTCTCATTGTAAAATGAGCTTAAAGTAGTCTAAATGAGGAGGTGGGAGCATTTGACGATGAGTACCAGAGGAAACGAGCTTTTGTGTACATTTAAAAATACCATTTTTACTAGAGATCAGAAATTAAGAATACTATTCATTTGGCTTAGACAAGACTTGCAGTAGTAATGGCAGAAAGTATATTATAATAAAGAAATCCTAAAGTCTTGATGTCGTAATCACTGATTTAATTCCTGTAACAGGTGATCTTAGATAACACTTGTATTCACTGTTGCAAAAAGTCAAAGGCGTAATTTATATATGTTCCAAGTTAAAGAATTATTTTCTTCTTTTACTTTTCTTTTTATAGCCAAATGGTGCCAAATGCATTCCAATACGAGATCGCGGCTTCCTAGTGCAGGTAGGAGCCAAGCCATCCATTGCAGAAATATTTTAGCTTTTGATGGGTTTCCAAATTATTTATGAACTTGACTTCATTATTTCTCTTTATTGTTTTATCCAGACAATTGAGTTTGCTGAGCAGCGGATCCCTGTATTGAATGAATACTGTGTGGTTTGTGATGAGCCACACGTGTTTCAAAATGGCCCCATGCTTAGGGTAAGTTCTCATTGATAGAATACCATTGTTGATACAGAATATAAATGAAAAAAAGTTGAGACATAAAAATAAATAAGTAAATAACTTTATTTATAGCAAATGCTCTCCTACTGAGGAAATTATTTAATACACATAATGGTATAATTTTGAACAAGTGAATCACTATTTCTGAAGGAGTCTGTGAAACAGCAAGTAGTTTCATATTAGTAAAATATTTCTTACTGTATTTCTTATATGTGCCTATCTATCATCTTTCTTTCCTTCCATCTATTTTTTATCTATCTGTATCTTTATTAATATCAATAGACATAGATCTAGATGGATAGAGAGATACATATAGATACAGGTGTATGTATACAGGTGTATATATACAGGTGTAAGTTTGAAAACAGTGTTTCTTCAAGCCACACAATTTAAGATGCTTGAAGGGTAGAGGTTAGAAGAGGTATGCAGTAGTATGCATAGAGTCAGAATAAAGATTTCAAGAAATGCCAGATCACTGACACATTTGGGGTATTATTGAAGGAGTATAGAAATAAGAATCAATGTGTATATGTGCATTTTGGGAGGAATTATCCAATCTCAAGTAGTTTTTTTTTTTTTTTTGCAATTTTTAAATTGAGATAAAATCATATAACATGCAATTCACTATTTTAATGTATACAGTTCAGTAGGTTTTGGTGTGTTCACATGTGTTGTGCAGCTATTATCACTAATTCCAAAACATTCCATTCCCCCCCCCACAAAAGAAATCCATAACTGTTAGCCGTCATTCCCAATTTTTTTACTTCCCTCCTCCCCTGACAACTGTTAAACTATTTTCTGTTTCTGTTTCTATGAATTTGCCTCCTCTGGACATTTCATATAAATGGAACCATACATTATGTGGCCTTTTTTTTGTCTTCTTTCACTTAATATAATGCTTTCAAGATTCATCCATGTAGTGTGTATCAATACTGTATTTCTTTTTATGGTGTAATAATTTTCATTGTATGGATGTATGACATTTAATGGATATCATTAAATGATCTTTTCATCATTTCATGGAATTGCTGGGATATCTGTTAATTCTGACTGTTTGAGGGACTGCCAAACTATTTTTGACAGTGGCTATACCATTTGTATTTCCACCAGTGGTATAAGATGGCTCCAGTTTCTCCACATCTTCTCCAGCACTTGCGATTCTCCTTTTTTTTTTTTTTTAATTTTTTTTTTTTTTTCAACGTTTATTTATTTTGGGACAGAGAGAAGACAGAGCAGAACGCATGAGCGAGGGGCAGAGAGAGGGAGACACAGAATCGAAACAGGCTCGGCTCCAGGCCATCAGCCCAAGAAACAGCCCAGAGCCCGACGCTTGGGCTCGAACTCCTGACGGACCGTGAGATCGTGACCTGGTTGAAGTCGGACAACAACCCATTTCGCGCCACCATAGGCATCTAACCATTCTCCTTTTAATCCCTAATAGCCATCCTAGTGTGCGTGAAGTGGTATCTCGTTGTGGTTTGAATTTGCGCTTTCCCTAATGATTAGTGATTTCGAGCATCTTTTCTTGTGCTTATTGGCCATTTATACATCTTTTTGGAGAAATGTCTGTTTTTATCTGTCGCCCATTTTTAATTGGACTATTTCTTTTTTGTTGTTGTTTTCAGAGTTCTTTTTTATTTTTAAAGTTTATTGATTTATTTTGAGAGAGAGAGAGCATGCAGTCATTCAGGAGAGGAGCAGAGAGAGAGAGGGAGAGAGAGAATCAATCCCAAGCGAGCTCCATGCTCTGCGTGAAGCCCGACGCAAGGCTCAATCCCATGACCGTGAGATCCAGAGCTGAAATCCAGAGTCAGAATTCAACCAACTGAGCCATCCAGGCACTTTAAGAGTTCTTTATATATTCTGAATACTAGATTTTTGTTAGATATGTGATTTGAAGATATTTTTTTCCTATTTTATGGGTTTCCTTTTCACTTTCTTGATAGTGTCCTGTGACACACAAAAATTTTTAATTTTTATGTAGTCCATATTTATCAATTGAACTGTTGCCTAATTCCTTTTAAGTGTTTTATAGTTTCTATCTTACAGTTAAGTCATTGATCCTGTTTGAGTTAATTTTTGTGTATCGTGAGATTGGATTTTAACTTCATGCTTTTGTATGTAGTATCCAAATGCCTCCACACAGTTTGTGGAAAAGACCTTCTTTCGCCATTGAATGATATTGACACCCTTGTGAAAATCATTTCACTGTAGATGTATTGGTCTCTTGTTGGACTCTTAATTTTATTCCACTGACTTGTATGTGTGTCCTTGCACCTGTACTACACTATCTCGTTTACTGTAGCTTTGCATTAAGTTTGTCAGCAAGAAGTACGAGTCCTCCAACTTTGTATTTCTTTTATAAGATTGGATTTCACTATTTGGAGTCCCTTGCATTTCTGTATAAATTCTAAGGTCAGCTTGTCCATCTCTGCCAAAAAAGGCAGTTGGAATGGCTTTGCACTGGCTCTGTAGGTCAATTTGGGAAGTATTCCTGAGTTAACAAAAATTGTAACCCTTCCAGTCCATAAGGAACACAGGAAATTTTTCCATTTATTTAAATTATACCCTATTTTGTAGTTTTCAGTGTTCGGGTCTTGCACAACCTTGGATAAGTTTATTTTTAAGTTAGTTCATTCTTTGTGATGCTCTTGTCACTTCTCATCAACATTGTGCTAGAGGTTATAGCCAGGGCGGTTAGGTAAGCAAAATTATTCGAAGGTATCCAGGCTGTAAAGGAAAAATGAAAATGATCTCTGTTTGCGGATGACATGAGCGCTGTGTGCTAGGCACTGTGTGTACATATTTTGCATATTGCTTTCTTATTTGATTTTCACAGAACTCTTGTGGTTTGTGTATTTTTGTGCTCATGGTACAAATAAGGGGATTAAGATTGAAGGAGGTTAAGCAGTTTGTTCAGCATCACTCAGCAAGTATGGGTAAAAGCTGGACTTTGAACCTGCTTCTGCCTCATTTCAAAACTGCATCATAAATGCTTATTGAAAACTTCCTAAGTATAAGGCACCATGCTAGATTCTGCTGTACTTTTTAAGAGAAATTTGTCCTGTTCTTGGGAATATGTTTGAAAAGACAAATTACAAAGCGTAGAAAGAGACAATTTTATTAGAACTTGTTTGCATTTCAAGATTTAGACTCTAAAAAAACATAGAATAGCCATTTATGATCATAATCATCTGTCAAATTGTATGATATATTTGTTTTATTTTACTTGTTTATGGGAAACCTATATAAAAAGTTTTTCTTGCTACTCATACACTATTTTTTTATCAGTTAGCTTTTCTCTCGAAGAGATACAATGTTATTCTGAAACCTAAATTAACTAAATTAGCATTTGTTTGTTAAATATTTGTGCAAGTTTGTTATTTTTGTGTGATACATGGAAATGTGTAGTTACAATGAAAATAAGGAGAATGCTTTGGTCACGTTAGTTTATCCCATTCAGGAGGTCCATTTTTACTTTGTTAAAGTTCCTCTGTGGATCCTGATCTATTGCTTGATCTAGGGCAATGCAATCTTCACTCCAGAAGATAATAGTAATGTTATTAATGGCACATGCTTTTGAGTGCTTTTTATGTGATCGTGTGTTGAACGTGTTTTACATGGATTATTTAATTGAATCCTCATCATAACCCTATGAGGTGGGTATTATTATTACCCTTGCTTCACAGATGAATAAACCAGTAATTTATTTAATATCAACACTGCTGGTAAGCGATATACACAAGATTCGAGCCCTGGGACAATGGCACCAAGCCATGGTTCTTAACCGTAATGCTATTCTTGACTCACCACGTATTTGAACTGACTACTTTTACATCCTGGAAATTTACTACACATTTCACTGGGAGTTTGCTCTTTATGGTTCAGTTAATGGCAGCTCATTCCTATAGTAAATGATAGAAATATCCTAATTGCTATTGGTATTTTCTGCACCTTGCTCCCAGTTTTGTTTTACCTATTTTATTCTGCACCAGTGAAGTTGGCTGTTTCTTTGTAGAAGTGGAAGGGCTTTTGTAAATAACGATGTTTTCTAAATAAGTATAGCTAGCTATCAGCTGGTTTTCTTTTGCTGTGATTCAGACTGATACTAAGGAAATCAGAAAACTTACTTGGGTTTTTTAAATAGTTAGATAAATGACAGATGAAATCAGGTCAGGAAATGAAAGTCAAAGGAATATCTGATCTTCAAAGGAAGAGAAGTAAACAGAAAGAACTGCCTCTTGATTGTTTGAAAACAGATGTTGAACCTCAATCAGGCATACTCATTTATTCTGTATCTTTCTTATATTTACATTGCAGTATGTTCTACTGTAATTTTAATAGAAATGTGTAAAATTATTACAAATAAAATTTCTTATGGGGTATAAATTGTTAAAATGACTCACTGACCATTTATTCAGCTTAAAGGACGCATTACAAGCTGCAGTGGCTCCCAGAGATGTAAAGAGGATAAGTTATATCCCATTTGGTGATGAAACAGGTTAGATAAAACTCAGGCTTCCGTAGAATTCTGTGCCTAATGTTCATTATGTTTGTTAGACTTTTCTCTTTCCGAAGCCAAACTGTGTCTTATATTTTTTCTCTTTTCTCTAAACATGATTATTTATCGGATTATATAAGTCCTCTTTTACTACTATTCCCCAGAAGTCCTAACATTTCGGTCACTACTTGTACTATTCTGTCACTTTACTCAGAGGTCTGGGTAAGCATGTCATACCTTCTGCAACACAGGTAACTACACTGTTTACTTATTTAGAAATACCACAAGGCTCCACTTAACGCTTTTGTTCACGAAGGTTATAAATATCACTCCCAGGCATGAGAGCTGACTTGTAATACTTTGAATCTGCTTAAAATTCATATTAACATCACAAGGATTGTCCAGTCCTAGATTTTCCTGGGTTTTTCCATTTAACAATGCAGATTGGATTATGATCAGAAAACCCAACCCAAAC